TCCCCACTCGCATACAAAATATTATCGGCTGCGTCTTGTTTGTTTATTTTGTTTTTCTTTTGTTTTTTTATTCTTATTACTAATGTTAATATTAATATTAATATTATTAATATTATTATTATTATTATTATTATTATTATTATTATTATTATTATTATTATTATTATTATTATTATTATTATTTTCTTTATTTAATTTTACTCTTACTCTTTTTTCGCTAAAACAAATTTTATTTACGAAAAACTTTTATATATATATATATATATATGTGTGTGTGTGTGTGTACATATATATGTATATATAGTTACGCACTTCGATCGTATTACTTCCAATATCTGTTATATTGTTTCATTCCTTTTTTTTCTTTTTTCTTTTTTATCTTTTTTTTTTTTTTGTTTCCTCGGTTCGATTTAAGCGTAAATTATTATGCATATACCGATAAGCGATCTCGTGGCACCTTTTTTTTTTTTTCTTTTTTCTCCCTTTTAACACGATTAAGCTTCTCTCCCACGAACGAACGAACGATCGATCGATCGTTCGATCGATCTTTATACGTGTTATATATATATATATATATATATATATATATATATGTATATATATATGTATATATATCGCGAAAGGCCAGCGCGTAGCGCGTATGAAATAATAAATAGAAATGAAAATGTACATATTCTCTTCGCAATTAAATCGCGAAAGAATTTGTTTTTCTGGTGATAAATCACACCGATATATCGATTTAATACTCCGCCCTAAATCGACATCATTTAATAATATTTTTGTTATTATGTGCTCGGTTTAAAATTAACGAAGAGAGGCACGTGCGATTAGAAAATATATAAATACCCATCCCACGATATTTATGCTTAAACACTGCGCGTTTATAATAATAATACATATACATATATATACATGTATATGTATGTATATATATATATATATATATATATATACAATTCTTATTACAGATAATATATTTATAGCAGTTATTCACAATAAAAGCTCTATATATTTCATAGACAGTCACTGCGAATAATGTGTTCACTGATAGATTATTGGCTGGATGCAGACCGTTAATAAATATAATGTAATGATAATTAATTATTTTTTTTCTTTCGACGCGTTTGATTCTTTTTTTTTTTATTCTTTTATTTTCATTAATAATCCCGACGAAATGTTAACGTCCAATTAATCGATGATATTATACATTTTCACGTAACGTTATATATGTATGTCCGTTTCGGAAAAAAAAAAGAAAAAGAAAAATTGTCTGTATGATTCTTTTTTTAATTTTATTTTTATTTTTTTTTGTTTTTCTTTTTTTTTTCACTCCTATCTCTTCCTTTTACCAATATAATTATACGTTCGTTACGTCCTATTTTCTTTTTCTTCTTTCTTCACTCTTTTGTAATTTTCTGTTATCGTAAAGTTAAGAAAAAACGTATGGTCAAAAAATACTTTCGTCTTTGTAAACTTTGATTTTTGTTCCATCAGCGTGTATTTTTCTTTTTTCCTTTTCTCTTTTTTAATTTTATCCCTTTTAATCCTTTGAAGTCCCGAATCTCTCCACGCGTATATAATAATACCTATGTATAGATATACATATACAGAGTTGACTGGGTTGGATATCGGGATCGGGCGAGAGTACAAAATTAATTTCAAGATAATTTTAATAATCGATTACTATCATTTAATTGTGCCATTACGTAGGTCGACTTTCGGACAATAATTTTTTTTTTGTCGACGAATACAAACGCGAGTATAAAAAATTGGTAAAAAAGGTCTCGGAAATGAATAGTCGTGCAATAATGAAAAAAAAAAAATAAAAAAAATAAAAAAAAAATTTTTCTTTTAAATCGTGCAGTGATGACAAAAAAAAAGAACAAGTAAAATAGGAAAAAAAATTTCTTTTAAAGTCATATTCTCGATCGACCCTTTCTCTTTCTCTCTCTATATATATATCTCTCTATATATATATACATAAGTACTTATGTATCGCGTATATGCATTTCAATAAATTCTCACGTTTTCGTTTGTACGAATTATAAAATACGCGATTAGAAACGCCTTTGATAATTCTAATATCGCCGAATCGTTTGTGTTCGAACAAAATTTAATCGATCTATTATATATATATATATATATATATATATATATATATATATATATATATATATGTATGTATATATTTATCTATATCGCGCACCTGTATCCAGCGACGTTTAATGAAACGAGATATTCGTGGGGACCCTATTGGGTTTGATTATCTATTTTGATGATTTGCTTTGACTGCCTTTTGATTAGCAATATGGACATTGATGGGACGGAGATGAAAGTGATGATTGGTGGTAGGTTGTTGTTGGTAGGAAAAGAGGGGCGAGGGATGAGCGGGGGTAATCGATAAGGATGAGACTAAGAGAGATAAGGGACACACAGTTGTGGTGCGGAGGGAAGGGGTGACTATAAGCGTTGCCGAACATGTCTCTTTTTTTTCTTTTTTCTTTTTTTTTCTTTTCCTTCTTTTTTTTTGTTATCGAATAACATATTCGTTCACATGTCCGACACGCAATTACATTTTGTATTTTGATTTTCGGGCTGTCAGCCATATTTTTTTCTTCTTCTTTTTATATTATTTATATATTAATATATATATGTATATATATATATATGTATATGTAAATGTATATATTTATATATTTGCTCTCGTATGTTACGATTATTAATCTTATATTGATATACGACGTGAGACAAAACTCTGTCGAGGTTAAAAGGAAGGCTACTCGATTCGAACAAATCGATTTTATTTATACCTCATTGAAAAGGTTTCAGAATCGAGAAAATCGTTGAAATTGATAATTATCGTTTTATTTTGTTCTCTTTTGTTATGCTTTGTTTCCCGATTCTTACAAATATTGAATATTTTATTTCTCTTCTTTTTTTATTTGGCCGTGTTTTCTCTTTCTCTTTTACTTTTCCTTTTTTCTTTTTTTTTTTTCTTTATTTTTCTTTCCGATCGATATTATTTTCCTGATTTAATTAAAAGATTTTTTTTTTTATTTAGGTATGCGCGTTATTTATCTCATAACGATTTTGATATATCTCTTTGCTCTTTAAGCGACGTTACGTCGACGCTCGAGACTATTAAAATTAATAATTAAAAAAAAAAAGTATCACTAACAAAGGAAGCGTTTTTATAAATGTGTATACATATAAAATTTTATCATAGAGAAATTCTTTGATTAATATTTTCAAACGCATTTTTGAAGGGAGAACCCCCTTCTTTTTCTTTCCTTTCTCTTTTTTTTTTCTCTTTTTAATCGCGGTCGTATTTGTCTCTCTATCGTTTATCGTTATTATATTGTTATTATGATATATGTATTTATATATATATATATATATATGACCATTCATTAATGATGTTATTCATGTATGTATGTATCTATGTACGCGTGAATGTATATATGTATGTATGTATGTATGTATGTATGTATGTATATATGTATGTATGTATATACGTACGTACGTATATATAAATTTATTATTAGGTAGAGCACTTGGAAAAAATGGCACATTCTTCGTGGGGTGACGCGGGGGAGTGGGAGAGACAGCAAACTTATTGGCCGTCTCGTCGCAGCGATCTAATTATTACAACCAATATCGAACACCATCAATGACACACATATGTATACATACACGAGTTATATATACATATTATATGTCCATTGTTTAGACGACAGTTTAACGACGATTACGCGTTCACGATATGTTTATTATTAATTACGAATCAAAGCAACGATTAGATATTCTTTTACGTCAATTATAAATTCGTACGTATATTTCTTTTTTTTGTTTTTCTTTCTTTTCTTTTTCTTTTCTTCTTTTCTTCCTTCTTATCGCGAATGAGATCAACGATTGATAAAAAAAAAAAAAAAAAAAAAAGAGAAAGCAAAAAAATAATTAAAAAATAAAACAATAAAAGTAAATAAATGTTTTTTTTTTTTTTTTACACAAGGATACTGGACATTGTTCGTGATATACTTTCCGCTTTAATGTAATTCTAACGATGATAACGATGACACAGGAGAAACGATATTCTAATAAAAATCTATATGTATGTGTATACATATATATGTAGATTTGTATTATCGATTAATCTCTGTTTCGACAGTAAATATAATTCATGTATATTTTTCCCCACTTTTTGTTTCTCTCTCTTTTTTTTATTTTTTTCGTCTCTCTCTCTTCCTCTCTCTCTTTCTCTCCTTCCTTTCTCTCTCTCTCTTTCTCTTTCTCTTTCTCTCTTTCTCTCTCTCTCTCTCTCTCTCTCTCTCTCTCTCTCTCTCACCCTTTTTGATCTTAAATCTTAGCTATTTATACGAACAGAGAATTTTTATCACAATTATAGCTAAATCTTCATTTTTTTTTGTAATGATATATTTAAAACAGAAAATGAAAACAGAATAAATATATATATATATATATATATATATGTAAAAAAAATTAGAAATGAATAAAAATACAAACGAGAAAGGGAAAAGAAAATCGTGATCTCATTTTTTATTATTTTCTCTTTTTTTTTTAATTATTATTATTATTAATATTTTTTTCTTATTACTTATTATTATTATTATTATTATTATCATTATCATTATTATTATTATTATTATTATTATTACTATTATTATCATCATTATCATTATCATTATCATCATTATCATTATCATTATCATTATCATTATCATTATCATTATCATTATTATTATTATTATTATTATTATTATTATTATTATTATTATTATTATTATTATTATTATCATTATTATTATTATTATTATTATTATTATTATTATTATTATTATTGATTTTTTGACTAGAGCACCGATATGTCTATAAAACGTATGCGCCGAGGGTGGGGCTTTTGGGGGAGGAGGGGTATTGCCTTATTTCTTTTTCCTTTTTTTTTTAATGGAATTATCGATTTGTTTATTGTTTAATTTTTTTTTTGTTTCATTTTTTTTTTTTTTCTTTCAGACAATGACGGATTCTTTTTGTTCTTTTTCTTCGCTACTATTTGTCCTGTTGTGTAGGTATAGAAGATATCACTGTTTCCTTATCTCAGGATCGCGGAAATTCGACTAAATTTTCTCGGAAAATCGAAAGTTTTTTTTCTTCTTCTTGTCTCTGTTTTATCTCCCTTTTCATATTTTCTTTTCCCGTTGTTATTATCAAGTTTTCTTTTTCTGTTTTTTATTTTTATTTCTTTTTTTTTTTTATTAAATTTTCTTTATTCCTTAATTGTTTTATTTTTTTTTTTCTTAGTTTAACTTTTTTCATTATTTCTTCTTCTTTACAAAAACTCGATAAGTATACGATAATCGTGATAACGTACGGGATACGTGATAACGTTGTCTTTTTTTTCCTTTTTTTTATTTTCTCTCTCTCTCTCTCTCTCTCTCCTCTCTCTCTACTGACACAACACATATATACGCAACCCATACGCGTTGTCATGAAAATCGAGTTCGAGCGCATAAAGCAAAAAAGAAAATGTCCTGTTTCACACTTATGTCTTTCATAATTTTTCGCAGTTACGTCCAGACGAATTATCAAGGACTAACACGCGTTTTTATTATTATATACAAATGTGTATCGGGGAAATTGTTGATATGAATGATCAGGGTAGTAAGGGTGAGGTGGGAGGAGGGGAGGTTGGTTGATTGGTTGGCGGCAAATTGAAGATGAAGGCTATGGGGTGTTAAAAGGGAAAGGGCCAAGTGTTTTACTTCCTATCTAATTATCTTGATTTTACAAGCGACGTTAATAGCAACATTTTTCTTTCTCTCTCTTTTTCTCTCTCTTTCTCTCTCTCTCTCTCTCTCTCTCTCTCTCTCTCTCTCTCTCTCTTGTATGTTTTTTTTTATTATCTTCTTCTTCTTCTTCTTCTTCTTCTTCTTCTTCTTCTTTCTCTTCCTCTTTCTCTTCTTATTCTTCTTTTTCATCTTCATTATTCTTTGATTAATAAAAATCACAAAGGTAAGCCGCGCGATCGAGAGTTTATGAGAACTTTCGCGCGATTCGCTCATTAAAATTTTGTGTTCGAATGTGTAAGCGGCTATTCCGATCGAGATCAGAATCTAAAGGGTGTTCCTTTTCTTTTATTTTTTTATTAATTCTTTTCTTCTTTTTCTTCTTCTTTCTTTGTTCTTTCTTTTTTTTTTTCCTTATTACTTCTCCACTACGTAATTTTATGCGATATTTACGCTTTTAATAAGTCATTACTTCGAGAAAATTACTTGGTAAATAATATATATATATATACGTGTACTAAAGAATAAAAAAAAATATAAATAAATAAATAATAATAATAAAAAAAGAAGAATGTATTTCAACGCATTGACGATCGTCGTTCTTGTTCGTTCGATTTCTTTTTTTTTTTTTTACATTACTATAATAAAAATTCGATATTTCTGAATATTTTCATTCGATTAGAAAAACTGATTTAAAAAAGCTCGCATCATGATTATTCGATCGTCCTGATGCGTTTAAGAAAAATAAAATCAAAATTTATCTACTATTTCTAATCATCCTTGATATCATATATTTATAATTAGAAAGGAGATGAGCTATCGCTATGGGGAAAAAAAGATAAAATAAATAAATAAATAAAAAGAAATGCGATAGATCTATAAAGAGCATCTCGAAAGAAAGCCGAGGATTATAATAAATTATTTCGATTTAATTAGGAATAAGGTGATACCATGGTCTGTGCACCCCCTTCACCGATGCGCCTCAAAATGACCTTCAATTTATAAGGTCATCCGTGGCGAACGGTGGAGGGGGTCCGGCCGCTATGCTTGATCCAACTCGTGACAAACCTCCATGTAATCTGGACTGTGCATTATATCCTTTATCATATCCTTCAGGATCGTGTAACGTGGAAACATAGGATATATCTTGGAATTGTTGTACTCCTCCTAAGAAAAGAAGAATATTATTATATAATATTTTTATTATTATTATTATTACTATTATTATTATTATTATTATTAAAAAATAATTAATTTATTAATTACTAACTCATATATATTTTAAATGAGTTTTTATGAATTTATATAATATAAAATTTATACGATTTAATAATTAATAAATTACATAGATGAAATATCATTGAATTAATAAATCATTTTTTCGATAATATCTAAGATCGATCGAAAGATTGTATATTCTCTTACGTTTCATTTTCAATGTAATTAAAAAATGTACTTTCTTTTTCACGCGCAAAAAAAAAAAGAAAAAGAAAAAAGAAAAAAGAGAAAAGAAAAAAAGAAGGAAATATGAAAGAAAGGAAAAAGATTATTATTGTACGATGATCAAAATAAAAAGTTGTTTCATATCAGTAAATCCGGATTTTCTTTTCTATCGTTTACCATTCTCTTGGTAAGTAAGAGAAGATAAAGAATAAAGTAGATATAAAACACAAGTTCTTTCGCCTTCCATCTATCTCTTTACCACGTGTGACGTTTCACTCTTATATAGATTTTTACCTTTGTCAAATAGAAAAGGAAATCCCCCATGGTGTTAAAGTGATTTACGTATATAGCTTTCAATAACGTCACGCCATATGTTATGTCGAAGCAATGTCGGTTAAATCGAAATCGGCGTGGAAACGTTTTAAGACACCGTATCCGGTAAGATTAAATGTATCTATTTCTCTCTCTCTCTCTCTCTCTCTCTCGCTTTTTTTTTCTTTCATTCGAACCTTATATTCGATAGAACCCGATACACGCTTTTCTGGCACGAAAACACGACGAAATGATACTTCGGAAATAAAAATAAAAAAGAAAAAAAAAAAAGAAAAAAAAAAAGAAAGTTCGAACGAATTTCTTCTTCGAGTTCTCTTTTTCTCGATCGTCAACACTTGCACTCATACAAGTTCATAATTTTTATTTTTTGCCAATAGAAAAAACTTGTTATATCTATCCTCTGAGAAATCTATAAATCCATCGAACCTTTTCCTCCTTTTCCATGATACTATTTTCCTACTTTCTTTCTTTCTTTCTTCTTCCTTTTTTTTTCTTTTTTTTTTTTTTTTTTTTTTTTTTTTTATCTTTTCATATACATATCCAATATAACAATTTGCCAGATAATTATTTTATATAATTTTCTTTCATTTTCATTTATTTCAATATTTATTGATTTATTTATATGCATATACGTATATTTAATATTTTGAATATTTAATAATTTTCGATTTTCGAAAACGAAAGAGAAATAAATTATTTCATTTTAAATAATTTGAAAAGTAATTCCATTTTTTTTTAGCCTTATTTATTTATTCATTTATTTTTGGACTTTTTTTTAATATCTTTTTTTTTTTTTTTATACACACCTTTAAAACACGAATAAGATTCCTAAGTCCCGTATACTTTTTCAGCAGCCTGTACAGATCATTGGTCATCTGGGTATTCTCCGATTCGATCATTGCCGTTGTCATACCTGCGTCAACGAAACAATGGAAGAAACAAATTAATTGCTGGTAAAACTCGGGACAATGTATACGCAGAAGTATTTACGAGTCATTCAATAATATTCTCTTTTTCTTTTTTTTTTTTTTTTTTTGCTTCATAACAATCATTTTCATAATATATCGATGATTAACAAATAAACGCGGGAAATTACCATTAGTAGCGAAAATTACCATTACGATTAAATTCGATATAACAATCATTGATAATTGCGATAGGATGGAAGTATCGAACGATAGTATTTTCGATTGGAGTAAAATTGATTTTTCTCTTTTTTCTCTCTCTCTCTCTCTCTCTTTCTCTCCGCGTATACATTTTTTCTTTTTTTTTCTTTACGTTCTAACAATTAGATATTGAAATGTATGTAGATAATAAATAGGTTAAAATTTCACAATAATAGTTTATCAATTAATAGAGAGACACTTAATTCAAAATTATATACAATGAACCGTATGAAAAATTGTAACAATTAATTCAACATTTATTTTTCATCATAAGTCATTCGTTCCAATTCTCTTATGCATTAAAAAATATTTATATATATATATATATAAATTTTTTTTTTTGTATTTTTACTTAATCTTTGACAAATCGTTAAACTCGTAATTACAAAAAATAAAATAAATGTTATTGTCATTATTACTATTATTATTATTATTATTATTATTATTATTATTATTATTATTATTATTATTATTATTATTATTATTATTATTATTGTTATAATTTCTCGTTGATGAGACGAAAAAGAAAAAAAAAAAAAAGATAAAGGAAAAGAAAGAAAAAAATTTCATACTACTCGAGCCCATATCCCTTTTCTTTTTATTCCCCTCTATTGTTTGCCCATATCAATTTTCTGACAAATGCGTTTCGACCTTCTGATATCTCGATACAAATTTCATTGATGCTCAGTTGGTCTCTTCTTACTTTTTTTATCTTCTTTTTCTTTTTGTCGATCGTTCGAGAGCACGTACGACAGAAAATAATATATTATTCATGCTTGGAAACTTTCCAACGAAGGCGATAGCTATCGTCCGTCGCTTTTTTCCGCACAATTTGCCGTAGGAAAAGGGCCTTTGCTCGAGAAAAAGATCAGTGATCCTTCTACACCCTTCTCTCTCTCTCTCTCTCTCTCTCTCTCCTTTTTTCTCTCTTTCTCTGTTCATCTTCTTTTTCGAACGATACTTCGGAGTAAATTTACTTGGACTTTATATCCGGATACCTTGGAAACTTTGCCTTTGGTTCTTTACGTTGCAATTAATTTTCGCGAGTTAAAGAATTGATCGATATTTATTAATATATAATAATTTATATATTTATTTATTTATATAAAATTATATTTATATGTATATATATATATATATAATGATATATTAAATATTTTATAATTTATAAATTATATTTAATATATATAAATATTATATTAGCTAATTATAGTAACTATAAATATTACACGTTTACTATAAATAATACATAATATATTAAATGATCATTATATATATATATATATATATATATATATATATATATATATGTCTTATATACCTACACATATTGAACAAACATTTATATATCCAAAAATATTTTTCGTTTATCTAATTATTTCCAGGTCTCTCTGTAATCAACAAATTAGATTAAATCGATTACATTGATTCGATTGACAATTTGTCTCATTGATTGGATACACCAGAGATTGGATGTATTCTTTCTGCTTCCTTGCTTCTCTTTGTCTCTTCCTCTCCCTCTCTCTCTCTCTCTCTTTTTCTCTCTCTCTTTCTTTTTTATTACGAGTAATCGAAAAAGGAAGGATAAAAAAAAAACGAAAAAAAAGAAAAAAAGAAGTAAAAAAGAAAAGTAATGAAAATATGAAGGACTCAGAAAGTCGTAGAAATTCGTTGTCTCTCTCTCTCTCTCTCTCTCTCTCTCTCTCTCTCTCTTTATTTTTTTCTCTTTCTCTCTGCTCATTCACAAGGTTTTCCCTCGTTCATTTCTTTTCGTTCTCCCCGATAATGGCGTTTACTCACCCTCGAGTCTTTCGATTCGTTCCCTCTTCGTTTCAGCTTCCTCCGCCAATCGTGCTGAGGTTTTAACGCCCTCACCGCTCTTGTGTGTCTTTTCCATGATGGAACAGGCACGCAGGACGAAAGCAGGAACGGTTTCTTGTTTCTCTTGCCTTGGTATATCTACCAGGGTCCAGTACTGCGTCTCCAGTTTGATCACATCCTGAGAAAAGAGAGGAAAACCGCAACTATGATGTAACCGTGGTGGTAATACGTGCTACCTATATACATACACACACACACACATATATATATATATTATGTATATACTTAAGGATGTGGTACGTGTATACAATACATACGTATGCTACATACGAGAACTAACCCAAAACCACAGCGCAAGTAACTTTGATAGCTCTATCGTTGAAAGAGAAAACGATGGGGTATGAGTAGCGAAGAGGGCGGCGCGAAGGGATGGAAGAAAAAAGGATCAAATAAATTCGTTTCATTAAGCGTTTCATTTTAACGTTGAAAATTGTCTATAAATTTTCTTGTTATAAGGGAAAGAAGAAAAGAAAAAAAAAAGAAAAAAAAAAGAAGCGAGAAAGAAAAAGAAAAAGAAAAGAACGATTCAATTAGTAAATACGAACGTAATTGAATATGTCGGCTTAATGTACATTAAAAATGTTATGTTCTTCGAAAATTCACGAGAAAAAGACAAAAAAAAAAAAAAAGAAATAAAATTCGTCGATTTCGTTGATCTCGTAAAATAGTTCCTTTCGTTCGAAAAAAAAAAAAAGAAAAAAAAAATTAATATCCTCGACGTCTGTCGCCAATGAAATTTAACATTAATTTTTCGTCAATTTTCGATAAAACACGAAAAAGAAATTCTTATTATTTCGTCTATAATAAAATGTTGACGATGTTTTAAATGGGATAACATTTTTGCAAATGAGGAGAGAGAGAGAGAGAGAGAGAGAGAGAGAGAGAGAGAGAGAGAGAGAGAAAAAGCTGCGTTGGATGATAAACGGACAGGTAACAGGACACATGAAATTCCATGCGCTAAGTTAAGTTCATGCTGGGATAGTTCACGTATGTACGTCATCTATGTATTGGAGGAGGAGCATACGTGCGTTACACTTTAAATGGAAAACGGATTTAAGTGATAAGTGATATCCCTTTGTTACTAGCCAGTCTATAGAAGTCCTATCTTTCTCTCTCTCTCTCTCTCTTTCTCTTTCTATATATGTATAATAATAATAATAATAATATTAATAATAATAATAATAATAATAATAATAATAATAGTAATAATAATAATAATAATGATCTTGTATCTTGTGTTTATGAGACGGAAAAATTGTGACGTTATTTGATAGTCCAAAATAAATAATAATGACAACGATAATTTCGAAAAAGATTTAACTAATGTACGTCTTTTAACGATGAACTTTTCGAGGATACTCGTTATTTTCTCTTTATGCATTTTTTTTTTCTTCTTTTTTTTTTACGGACATTAAGCAAAAAAGGAAAAAGGAAAGAAAAAGGGAGCGAGAGAGAGAGAGAGAGAGAGAGAGAGAGAAAGAGGGAGGAAAGAAAAGTTAGTTCGTATAAGATTCTAACTGAAGAAGCAAAATTTTAAGTTTTATCATGAGAGAGAGAAAGATAGAGAGATAGGATAAAGTTACTTTTCACGGTATAATATTCACAAGTTGGACCAGGGATGAGAACCGCACAAGGAATACAGGCGTCAATGTTGAAGCGTATAATTGCAAGAGGAAAGAGAGAGGGAGAGAGAGAGTGAGAGACAGAGTTTAGATAGAAGTTTCCTCACCTTGATCATAACTTTCAGGAGGTTGTAACGTTGGAACACGTTACGGACTTGTTTACTGTTCGTATACTTGCACATCAGGTCTACTAGAGCACGTTTAGCGGTGTCATAACTTCCTTCGAGACGTATCCTTACTACTCTCAGTCGTTCATTTGTCTCTATGACCTCTTCCTTCGTTTGACCACCTGCAATTGATAAAGTTTAAAGGACTCGAAAATATGTAAGCAAACGTTTGTTTATTAATGCCGGCATTACAATGGCGGACTCGCATAATCGACGAATTCGCGATCAAAAAATTATTTTACTACGTGCTCTCGTTTTTTTTTTCTTTTCTTTTTGGTTTTATTTATTTATTTATTTATTTATTTATTTATTTATTTATGCATTCATTTATTTATTTCTGTATTTATTTATTTATTTATGTATTTTTTTTTCGAACTTCATCGTGCTTTTTCAAAAAGAAAAAAAAAAAATATATATATATATATTAAAATATATATTAAACTGTACAGAAAGGTATATAAATATTTTATCAATTATATCCTTTTTAAAAATCTTGTCAGGTACAAGCTCGTTCATTTATATCGACCATAGTTCGTACTTATTATTTCATTTTTTTATTCAATCGCGAAATTAATGATCCTCAAATGTTTTTTTTTTTTTTTTCTTCACGAAAGGAGAGTATTTTCTTTTTTTTTATGTTTTCTTTTTTTTTTTTTTTTTTTTCTTTTTTTCATTTTTACACAATAACCAAAACCTTTTTAAATCCGTGCCAGTTGGTACTTGTATTACCTAATTGCTTCGACGAAATTCAATTTCAATTGATTCTCAATTAACTCGACAACGTAGAATAGTAATGAAATTTTCGGACATAAATAAAACGAATACCATTCGTTGGTTGGTATATATAGCGTATAAGCTGACAACATCCTCGGTTGGTTCCTTTCTTCTTTTTTTTTTTCTTTTTTTCTTTCTTTTCACTATGTAACGTCGAATTTTCAAAATGAAGAAAAAATATCTGTTAATTATACCGTGAATTTCTATCCTTTGGAGTACTATCAATGGTTCGATTAATAATTACGTACGATTTAATTTCTCTATTATTATCAGTACGAAAGTTTTTTAATTTCAATCATTTTGCCTCAATCGCTAATATAATTTCTCTTCATCCTAATTGTATCATATTCCATCGTCAAACGAAAAATATAATAATAATTAATTATCTAATTAATTAATTAATTAATTAATTAATTAGACTAACCCATGGTAGTGTATGACAACTATCATTGCATATATATATATATATATATATATATATATTATATTATATAACGATGTAATTTAATTATATCAGAACGTACTTTGTAACTTCCTAGATTACGAGTGATGTTAAAAGCTCGTACATCTGTATAAAACATTCATAATTCAAAGTACTTTTACATGTATGTATGTATGTATGTGTGTGTGTGTGTGTGTGTGTGTGTGTATGTGTGTGTTTGTGTTCGCGCTTTTTTTTTCTTTCTTTTGTACTTTTAACATGTTTAAGCAGTATATAAACGTTTACATTACTAAAACTAACGTACGACCACTATAACAATTACACGCGCACAAGTAAATTTAACGTCAATTATAAGTACGTATACTTATGTATATTCTGTGTTTATATAGTTTGTCTGTTAAAAAAAAAAAAAAAGAAAAAAAAAACCGAAAAGAAAAGAAATAATGAATGTATTTGCACGTACTAACAAGTTATATGTTAACATGTTATTGTCATAATGAGAAAAAGGGAGACAGAGAGAGAGAGAAAGAGAGAGAGAGAGAGAGAGAGAGAGAATATTCATACATCCTTGTTACGGTAATCGCATTGAATTGGCATACTCAGGAAGAACGTTTTAATTAGATAGTGTTAATCCAAGTTTAATAGAGCTAACACACGTATCGTAAATACATGACGTTAACCGAACCAACAACCATATAGATAGGACCAACGTCCGGCACCAGTACTATTCACAAAAGATAGATAGATAAATAGAGAGAGAGAGAGAGAGAGAGAGAGAGAGAGAGAGAGAAAGAGAAAGAGAGGATAAACTAACAACCTGTCTGATTTGGCTCTTAGCCAACGACTTATTTCCGACGATTGGCCGTATCTACAAACGTCTTTTCACTGATTCAACGACTTTTACTTGTTTTCAAGGACGGTTAGATCAGAAAAATCGTTCCTTCGAAATATTTAAGGACTAGGTACTTATGTACTTACTTACAACTTATTTCAAAACTTATTACAATTTATTTCAAAATTGAGAAAAAGTATGATAGCCACTTGTTCGTACTCTTTATCTTATTTTTCAAGATCAATCGTACGATTTACGTGTGTATTCGTTGAATATGTGTGTATGTGTGTGTATGAATTAATTTGTGTAAAGAAAACAAAAAAAAAAAAACAAGAAAGAAACAACATGAAAAGAAAAGGAAAAGTAATAAAAATGATATCTAATATACTTACTCGACGTTCCTTCGTCCTTGACATCTTGAACGATTCTACGTACGCTTTGTGTAAACTTCCCAACGATATTGGTGCTCGCTGTAACAAAAAGTATGAAAAATAAAAGTAATTATGATGAAAACAATTTGGAAATTTATGAAATGTAATAATTACTATTATTATATATATATATATATTTTTTTTTTTTTCATACGAAATTAATACAGATGGTATGTAAAAAAAGTTTTTCAAGATGGATAAATCAAAGTTTAAACGAAGTTCATTCTTTAGTTCTAACGACGATCGAATTTTCCATGAGGAGTAAGCGTTTGTTAGTAAGCTGACAAGGGGGGAGGGTCGGGTGGGGTAAGTTGTGAGGATAAACGCGAATTCTTTAAAATATTTCCCTTTTATCCCTTTTGCTTAGAGAATTTTCAAGGATTAAAGATATACAGTACGACTCTTTACGATTACGATACGTCGTCTAAAAATTGTATAAACATAGACGTTATATTTACATACGTGTTTGTATGTTTGTACGTGTGTCTATCTATCTATGTGTATATGTACGTATGTTTGCATTACGAAAGTATTTACTCTCATCGAGACAGAGAAATATGATACTAGTGTACAGCCATTGCTCCTGTTTTTTTTTTCTTTTTTTTTCTGGTACAACTACGGAAGGGCAAATAAATCTTCTTACTCGTAAAAATTCCAGGATTGTTTTTTGAATTCCACAAAGAGTTTGCTTTTCTAAAATTTAGTACACGTTGCCTTTTTTTCTTTCTCTCTCTCTCTCTCTCCCTCTCTCTTTCTCTCTTTCTCTCTCTCTCTCTCTCTCTTTCTTTCTCTCCTGGTTAAGTAACTTCTTACCACAAATGAAATCCCTTTGACAGATTAATTCATCACAAATTTCAACGGATCGATACCTTTTCCCTTTTTTTCTGTTGTATTTTTATTTTTCTTTCTTTTTCAACACATCTCGCATTTATATATATATATATATATATATATATATATATATTATTATTATTATTATTATAAATATTAATAAAATATATATAAATAAATATATTGTAAAGCCAATTAGGTGCAAGTTTAGAGCCTAATCTTTCTCTATGGGGCAAGTAGTCACATTTTAGAAGCTTACTTTTCACGAACAGCTATATGTAAATGAACAGTCTAGTATATTTGCTCAAATGAAACTCAGAAAGTAACTTCTAACTTTTAACTTCTATATCTGTTTTTTTTTTCTTTTTTTTTTTTTTAATTCTTCATTCAAACCCATCTCTTTATATATTATTTTTTTTCTTTTTTTTTTTTTTTTTAATGCAAATACATACGCGTATATACCGATGTTGACGTTACTTTTATTTCATTAATATAAGTTTTCGTTTTTTCGATAAATTAAAAAAGAAGAAAGAAAAAAAAAGAAAAAGAAAAAAGTGCATGCGAATTTGGTTAAACGAAGAAACAAAAAAAAAAAAAAAGAAAAACAAAAAGAAATTTGTTCCTTCGAGATCCAATAAATGATATTTCTACTTCTGAGAGCCTTCGAAGGTATAATTATGATCTTGTACGAACGAATGCTTTACTTTCTTGCATCCGCTCCCTTTTATCGATTAATCAAGGTAAAAAAAAAAAAGAGAAAAGAAAAAGGAATAAAGAAAGAAAGAAAGAAAGATAAAGAAAAAGAAAAAAGAAAATTCGTAAAGAAAAATGTAATTAAGAAAAAGAAAAGAGAAACCTTACTCGTCACATCGATCATCGAGATATCTCTCTCTCTCTCTCTCTTTCTCTCTATCATTCACATTTTTCTTTCTTATCAAAGGCATCAGAACTGAACGTTTACAATAGCCCGTACCTTTGTAACTTTTCTATCTCTATTTTTATCTTTCTCTACTACTATTCCTTTTTGTAATCCGTTTATAGTTCTTTTTATGTGTTACATGACTTTCTCTCTCTCTCTCTCTCTCTCTCTCTCTCTTTATCTACATGAAACCCGAAAAGAGGCTGATGTCAATGGTTCTCCCCTTTCTCTTCTCTTTTCTCTTTTTCTTTTCTCTCTCTCTCTCTCTCTCTCTTTCTCTCTTTCTCTTTATCTCTATTTCTATCCTTCTCTTTCTCTTTTTATAGAAAACTATTCTTTTCGTTTTCAATCGAGACACGGAATTACCTAGCAAAGCGATAATCTCTCTCTCTCTCTCTCTCTCTTTCTCTCTGTCTCTCTCTCTCTCTTTCTCTCTGTCTCTCTCTCTCTCTCTCTGTCTCTCTCTCTCTCTCTTTCTCTCTGTCTCTCTCTCTCTCTCCCTCTTTCTCTTGTCGCTCGTTGATCGATTCGATCTCCAAATTCATCAAAAGAAAAAAGAAAAAAAGAAAAAAAGAAAAAAAGAAAAAAAGAAAAAAGAAAAAAAGAAAACGGGAAAAAGAAAAAAGAGAAAAAGAAAGAAGAGACAAAGAAAAAAGAAAGAAAATTATGAAATAAAAAAAAAGAACTAAAGGATATATATATATATATATATATATATATATATATATATATAAAGAATAGAAGATGTGTAAACTAGGAATAAAACATAGAATGCATGCGAACGAATATTTCCAATTGATAATGCCGAAAAACAATAGTAAAATTTTTCTTTTTTTACATATATATATATATATATATATATATATATATATATAAATCTAACAAAAATTCATATAAATATATAGAAGGATAAACATTTAATCGGATGAAACGAAACTAAAAAAAAATTTATACAACGTTATGATTTCAAGTACGATAATTAAATTAAAAGATTAAATCAACGATATATCATTTAAACGTTGATCGAATTGAATTTAACGAGAAAGAAAGAAAGAAAGAAAGAAAGAAAGAAAGAAAGAAAGAAAGAATGAATGAATGAAATAAAGAAAGTATATAGGAAATAGTGAAAGAGTAGAGAGAAAGATAGAATTTTCTTCGTTCGATCGAGCATATATAATATCGGCTTTAAATATTTTTTCTTTCGCTCTAGTTCTCTCTCTCTTTCTCTCTCTCTCTCTTTCTCTCTTTCTCTTTTTTTCTCTCTATCTCTCTCTTTCTCTCTATCTCTCTATCATTCACTTTGATAAAAAGTGGAAAATCGGTGAGCTTAGGCGGGGCACAGTAGTAGAAGCCGAGTAGTAGTCAGACATGCTTACGTTTGCCTCTAAGCCATAACATCTCGACGTAACATCTCGACGTAACATCTCGACGGAAAAGGGAGAATATATACTTGTACCTTTACTCTCTAAAAGGGTAACGCGAGCATACACACACTCACACACACACACACACACATATATATATATCTATACATATACAAACACACAAATACGCCATCATCTTGTTGTCTCATCGTACGAAAGTTGTGCAATGTCATTCGACATTTTATATACGTTCCACAAAAAGGTAAGTCTATCCCTCTTACATTGAAATTTCCAATGTGTTTTCTCTCATTCACTTTCACATATCTATATATATATATATTTTTTTTTTGTGAATACGTATGTAATGTTATCGAAAGACAACGATGAGTTATAACGAGTTACAATGACGAGAACGACGACAATAACGATAACAATGTAGATTATTCTTTCTTTAAGTTCGTTTTTTTTAACAAAGTTTTTTAAGTTTGTATATTTTACAACGTACGTATCAGAAATATGGAATTAATGAACGCTATTGTAAATAATATCGATTTTCGTGTAATAGAAAAAGCAACAAGCTATTTTCTGTTGCTCCTTCTATATTCTGTTCTTCTTCTTTTTCTTTTTTTCTTTTTTTGCTTCTTCTTCTTTTTCTTTTTCTTCCTTCTTTTCTTCTTCTTCTTCTTCTTCTTTATAGTTTTCTAACTTTTCTTAACAACACTTATTTTTCTATTTTCTCTTCTTTTCTTCTTAATCTTCTTTTTTTCTTTCTTCTCTTTTTCTATTCCTATTTCGTGTTTCTTATTTTTATTTTATTTTATTTTATTTTATTTTATTCTTTTCGCTTCAACGAAATTCGATGAACAACTTTTTTTTCTTCTTCTCTCTCTCTCTCTCTCTTTCTCTCTCTCTCTCTTTCTATCTCTATCTCTATCTCTTTTTTCTTGTTTTCTTTTTTATATAAATAATCGATAAACTTAATCTTCTCTTGAAAATTCTACCTTTCGATTTTGAACAACAACAATGTATGTATATATCAAATTTTTCTAGGTATACTCAAGCGTAGATCTCTTCTACTTAGAATGATCGGCTTAACCGTGAGAGATACGTCTGGCTACATTTATACGTATACTACTTAAAGCTGAAAGTGAGTATGTAATACCTAAAGAGTATTTTTATGTACAGCTGTTTCTTATACGGTAGAGTTATTCTCTCTCTCTCTCTCTCTTTTTCTCTCTCTGTCTTTCTCTCTTTTTTTTTTATTTTTAACGATTCAGGAAGTACAGTATACGCAGGATCAGAGTTATAATTTGATTTCTTTCTTGCGGAAAGAAAACGTTGGAATACAAAATCAGTTTTAACTTGGAGATATCATATAAATCGGATAAACATGTATGTTTACAGTAACTTTTCTCTCGATTATTTTTATAATTTGAATTTACCAATACGATGTTGTACGAGTATCAAGAGGCATAATCTTAGAAAAGAGACTTAAATTTTACAATGTAAATAAGAATATTTTACAGAAACATTACTATAAGAACACTTTTACAGAAACATTTTTGTAACTTGAATTTATCAATACAATATTCTCTTACTTTGAAGATATATTTCGATATAAAATATATATATATATATATATATATATATATATATATATATATAAATTATATAAAAATTTTGTAACACGAATATGTTATTAAAAGCCGGTATTATCGCTGTAGGGTTCGAAAGGAATAAAGGAGATCTCTCGGAGTTGAAATTGAGTTAGGCAATATGAAGTGACTACAGGTTAGAACTACTTCGATTTCCGGGACCGTCTAAACTGGAACATGGCGTCTGGAGTCAATGGAGAAAGGGAGTGAGGCTACACAAGTAAATGAAATTCTACCCATCTTCTACGCGAAAGAAGATTAAGTTTGGAA